AAAAATATTTTTTACAATATAAATATCTCGTGCGCTGTCTATAATAACGAACAAATAATATTTAACGTCTACAATTCTACTAGAAATATAATGTCTTTTATTATATTTCAAGTAAAATTTAAAATATGATAACTTATATGCCACATATTCAGCAGACTGTGCGCGCTAAAGGATCATCCGAAGGTTTTTCGAAGACTTCCATTTCAGCTCTTGCTTCAGCAAAAGACGTTCCATTCACTCCAATGCGACAGTTCAAATAAAGCTTGAAATTTGACATTACTTGGATACAATATTTTGAAAAGTAAAAATCCTGCAAATCTATGTGAACTGCGCGATAAAGGCAAAGTCTAAAATCACTATACCTAATTATAAAGAGTTGATATTTCCTATTCCTCGCGAGCATACTACTCCATAAGCGCGGATTATCTCGGTCGAGAGCTCAGGCAGAAGCGTACAGGCTGGCCTTTCTCTCATTCATTATTCGTGCCGATTCCTTGCGTTTACTCGAAGTTATGACCACGCTGTCGGTTGCATAATGACTCGTAAGCCAACAATGTTGTCGCGTAATCAAATGGCGCAGACGTTTGTTCTCGCTGCGAATAGGATTGCGCATTGTTTCTCCGTTAACAATTTCTGCAAAATGGAAAAAAGAAATTGCGTAGTTGCAGGTGGTGTTACTATCCATGATTTCTGTTTCAAGCTAAATCTTTTAAAAGCATATGAACGACCCTGAAAGTAATATAAAATATGGAAAATTGTACGTACGTATATCTCAGTGTAATAAATACAAAAAGGAAAGATAAAACTACATAGTTTAATATTAGTGTTAATAACAATCGTAAAATATGATATATAAACTAATAATAATAATATAACTACATTGATAGTGTAGTGATGATAATTATAAAATTTAATACGTAAACCGGAGTAATACTAGAACTACACATTGGCGTTTATAATAACATTTTACGATACTAGCTAAAATAGGATGAGAGAGGAATGAAATTAAAGAAGCTAATTACTGATGTATGATGTTTGGTAACATAACAATTATGGGCAGGCATTAACGTCAGGTGAACCGGTAGATTGCAAACATGGTGAACAAATCACATGGTTGATTTCGTGCGTGTGTAGGTCGGGATAACAACGCGCTCTAAATATATTTCGCGTAAGATGGATATGTGCTGTTACGTATTCAAGCAAAATCATGACGTGCGTCAGCTGACTAATCCAGCCGACGCATACGTAACATAGGCATAAATACTGTAAATTGAATTAACGTGAATATTGGGTATTCGATATTATATATGAAATTAATTTCCCTGAAACTTCCTCGATACGCGAATATAATCGATAAACATAACTAAATGTATACGCAATACATATAACTTTATATCAAATTATTATTCACAGGCTTCTTAAGCATATTAAAAAACTGCAGTATACCTACATTTAAAAAATGTAATATGTCTTCCTGAATTTTTACAACGAATTTATTCAAATGTTATTATTTTATTAACTCCATGCGATCTTTATTATTTATATAAGAACATGAATGTACTTTTATATTGAGATGGTGTTTCGAAAATTTAAAAGTATTTTTAGAAGAATCTTTAAAGAATCGAGGTCACAGCTGATGTCAGAATATAATCGAATGTATAATACTACATAGTTTGAGAGAACAATTTTTTGATGTTTACCGCTAGATTTAGGTATGGGATTAGAATTAATCGCGTGGAAAACAACGCAGCGCGAAAGCGCGCGTCATTTTTAGCATTATCGCGGTATTCTCTTAACGAACTCGACGCTAAATCAACGTGGAACATGCCGTAAATCTATGCGGGCAAACTAGTTAGGCAATATACGGAGATTCCACGTGGATTTACGAGCGACGGTCGTCGATATGAGCAAAAAGAAGAGAAGTGGTTCGCGCGAGGGCGGTCTGCTCTTTGCGGTTGAAGATTTTCGGCGGTCCGCTAGGAAGGCGGGCAAAGGGAGCAGACGAGAAAATCGATGAGTCGACCGGGACGAGATGCGATAAATTTTCGTTGGCATTACCGACTGCAAGAAAGTCGCCGAAGAAGCTTTTCGAAGGGAACGACCGGTTGCCCGACGAAGCACACGAAAGGGTCAAGCTGCGAAGAGGTGGTGTAGAGGAGAAAGAGGAAGAGTAAAAGAGAGAGAAGAGGTCGTTCGATCGAGGAGTAATGAGAGCTTACTGGGTGTAATGACCTCCACCTTGGGTCAGCGCCGTGGCGAGTGAATTGTGGACCCTTTGGGACGCTCTCGATGCATCCACATCATTTATTCGATCATTGTTGATTTCGAAAATAAGGGATTAAGATCAGAAAATCAGCAATTCGGAAATTAAAAGTTGCCAGAAACAGTATTTTCTAAACGAGACTTGCTTTTAATCTTAAAGACAGCTCTTCGATTGCCAAACAATATCGAATGTTTGAGTGCGTTTACTTATTGTGACTAGATATAAATTTATTTATTTGACATCACAATTTATGCTTTTTCCGCGGAAATATATCTTTATTAATAATTAATTATCTATATGCACGCATTTATATGCTTGTACTCAACTGCGGTTCGAAACTAAAATTGAAAACATTTTACAACTGTTATTCGAAATATAATCGTCAGACCATAAACTTTAAATTTAAACATATTTCAGATATCATATATTAATGTATCTATTAGCAATTAATTTTCTGACGATTACATCGCTTGAGGTTTAAAAGTTTTGTCAAAAGATTTAATAATATTATTTAAAACGTTTTTAATGAAAGAATATTTAATTTAATACGGATATGATACATTCACGTCAAAAACTTAAACAAACGTTTAACATTCATTAAATTTTTCTCTGTCAATTATCAACAACAAGTTTGGGTAGAAACTATCGGACGTAATATTCCTATAACAAAAGAATATTTAGAAAGCGTTCACTTGAATCGTATTGAACGATACTATATTTGGCTGCGCCATTTCCGGAATATGATAACGCTAACGCAAAAGCGTTATTTGATGAGAACTGATTTTCGAGGTGACAATCAGCATAATTTTACTGATGATGAATGTGAAAAATACTGACATGATGTTTGAGGAATTTATTTTTTCCTGTTAAAGATTAAAAATTAAGGTTTAGATTGGTGAAATAAACGATTAAAATTATGTAGTTTCGTATATATGTAATATCAATAATTTAAATGAAAATTAAATAACAATTTTCGTTTATTTCTGTTCGATCAAGAATTATCAAAGGGCAAAATTTTCAGAGTATTGAAAATAAGTGATAATTCGTTTTTGCACATTAATAATATTCTAAAAGTAAATATTTTATAATTGCAAATACGAAATTGCTTTCAATTTGCGTTTACGTTGCGTGAACATCGAAATTATTTCTGTCCAAAAATAACACGTAATTGAAATAGTAATTCACCAGAAAAGGCTATGAGAAAATGTTACATGCACCTAAATTTTCATTAAAGACAAATTGACTCTACGACAGTAAACGATTCATGAAAGTATCGACTATACTTCTGGCATACCATATATAGTCCAACAGTGTGTATTACACCACGTGTCGAGTATGGCCTGTCTTTAGTAATGGAACACCCGATGAAAGAAAGACACCCTCGTTTCCTTTTCGGCATTGCACTCACGCTTCTCTGACAGACGCCGATTGGTACCCATAAACTCAGAAAACAGCGGCCTACAAATAGTCAAGTGCATTCACCTTTTTAACGAACCTTTTTTATCAACCGATGCACATGATTTTGACCTAAAATGACCTAAAATGTAATTAAATTTATGTTCACAAAAAACACGCGATATATATATGGATTTCATACGTTTATGAATCTGTATGAAATACAATGCGAAATAATATTACTTCTTGCTATATATAAATAATAAACATTTCTTAAACATCTTTAATTTTTTATATTAGGCTGTAATGAAATATAATTATTAACAATTTTAACAATTTTGCTAATGATTAAAAATAGTTGTACGATTTAATAAAAAATTAAATTTTTCAATTGTTTGTGGTTTAAAATTTTTTACGTTATCAGATATATGTCAGAAAATAGGGAAAAGTTGCCGAATGCGTACCACTTAACCTATTTTTTTATTATGTTTTCCATTTGGCACTGTTTTATATGCAAATGAACATTAGAAATTGTAGCTTGAGGTTTTGGACGCTTATTATTACATGTTTAACTTTCCACCAATAATAAATTAATTTGTTATAAATCTTTTTGTAACATGCTCCAAAGGTACGATTTAGGCGACCGGTCGCCTAAATCGTACCTATAGGTATTTTTTATCGTATTTCCTTTGAAAGTATTGAATTTATGAATAAAATAACAATAATAAAAAACAAATGACACAAAAATAAATTTACTTATATTTATTTTTGCACTTGGTATTTATATTGATATCAATTATTAGTTTTATTATTGTCACTTATCTTTTGATGTACGATTTAGGAAACTTAACGAATTTTGTAAAAATATCGATTTAATCTTTACAATGGTTGCAAATATGTATATACAGTGAATGTAAAATACTTTACAATAAATCTTCTTTTATAAAAATACAAAAATTTATAATAAAATTGGACGATCGCGTTGTTATCAGCTACATAAGTTGATTAAAAATTAATATCAGATGTAGCTGAATTTTTAAAACGCCGCTAACATCCATAAAACAAGATGTAGGCTGTTATATTTTTGTTTATATTACTCATTTCTCATATATTTTATATTATTGTTACTAAATATTGCCTATATTAACTAATAATATAAAATATTGATAAGGTACGATTTAGGCGACCAGTACGCATTTGGCAACTCTCCCCTACATTTTATACATAGTGAGAATTTTGATATAAATTATCTTACATATATACGTTACGTGATAAAATGTAACTGTAGGTACACAGTATCAAGCATGTGAGAAATGATTATTCTTTTATTTTTTTCTTTCAGAGTGGACCGTTTCGTAGCGAACAGAAATGAGGACACGAGGTATATAAATTACTTGGCATTTATCGAATTTAAATACGTACATTGATTCTTCTATCTCTATCTTTAATCTCTGTCACTAATATCTTTATAACTGACAATTTTGTTATTAATATTCGTACACAATAATGTTACGCTGTACAATAATAACAAATTAAAAAAATGCAGAATGTTTAACTTTCGATTTATTTCTAAATAATTTTAGAAACTAAATATCGACTTTATAATAGACAGCAAATATTATTTTTTTATTTTCTTTGTTTAACGAAAAAGAATATTAGTTTTCTTTCTCATTTTGTGAAAATTATAAATTTTAGACAAAACGCATTTTGAAAGTTTGTTTCCCAAATAATACATGAACATTATTTAAAAGTTAGTATATATATTTCACTTTTAGTAAATAAACTGTAATAATTTTGAGAAAAATATTTTTCAAATACTAAATATTTCAAAATATGAAACCGAATTTTTAGCGAAATTTCAACATAATTGTCAGTTTAATTTCTCATCCTCTGATTTATTTTAACACACATATAAATACATATATAATATGTATATCTATTGAATATAATTTAAAATATAATTTGAAATAAAAATAATTTTATCCTGAACTAATATAAAAACATCATAGCTATCGCATGAAAAATTTGTAAAAGTTTCATCCAAAAAAAATATTCTACTGATAAGCGAGGAATTCCTCTTAGCATTTCCTCTAAGCAAAAAATCTTACATGAATCAGGCGTGTATATTTATAAATAACACGTATTCATCTATAAAAATGAGGACACATGAGCTATGATCAAAAATAAATTCTTTTATAATACAAAATTCTATTATAATAACTCGAATAGCCTTTTGAAATAAGAAGATATACAAGATACTAGCGGCACGCTTATTTGTTAGAAGTCTGTCATTTACGTGCTACCGTAGCTACGTGTGCATGTCAGTACATGCAAGACACTCTTCTAATATTAAAAGGATTGCAATCCTAAATGCAGCACTTTATGGTTAGGTATACGAAATTCCTTTACTTTGTAGAGTATCTTCTTGAGATCGTATATAAAGGAAAACCTCTAAATGGCAGAATATTTTTTTTGGATGTTGATATTTAAAAAGATACGGATTTGGGATCGTAGATGTGATACTATATCGAAGGGTAGGCGTTTGAGTATAGAAAAACTAGTATACAATTCAAAGTAAACGAAGAAGAAATTCATAGAAGAGCAGTGTTCATGAAAGTGTTAAGATTTAAATTTTTGAAGTCTAATGGAGTGCTACAAAATTTGGAACTCTAACATCAGTTTGACAAATGATTTATTATTACTTCAGATTATTTCTGTAGAGATTTCATATCGTGAAAATAATCTTAGAACCACGTAAAGTATGTAGGGAA